GCAGGAGGAGCAGCCCTGCTTTCTCCTAATAAAGCGTTAGCTTTCTCTGGACAAGAATCCACAAATTATTTCCATATTAATCAAATATTTATGGAAAGGAGGCAGGACTCAACATCTTCACAGCAGATTCTTTTCTTGATAGTAAATTTATGAGCCTGGTTTATATCTACAACAGCATACATGTACATTGTCATGGTAATTCATCATTTCTGAAGGGATACTCTTTTGTTATCATTCATCATTCACCCTTAAAGTTACAGGCATTTATTTATCTTCTCCTCAAAATGTTGGGAAACAAACTAATATAAAACTCAGTACATCAGAAAGATAACAATAGATAACACAGGGAAACAAAATGTTGGGAAACAAACTAATATAAAACATCAGAAAGATAACAATAGATAACGCAGGGAAAACTATTCCATAACCCAACAGAAGTAGATGAAACTCAGTATACATCAAAGTAATTTCAGATGCAATTTTTGTATTTCTAGAGCAAATGCCACTTAAAAAATTCAAGTTGATCTATGGGGTGAACTGAAGAAGTCACTAGTCTTGGGAGTTTCATACATCAGCAGAATTACCTCCTAAGCAGTTTATAATCACCTAGTAAATGAACTTGCTCTCATTTTGCATTCTTCCACCATATTTTCAGACTTACATCACTTGAAACACATTAAAATAATCAAATTTCTCAAAGCTTAGTCTGCTGGAATTCTGCCCCAGCTGCCTCCAAGCCATAAAGCATCTCCCCTTGGGGCCTCTTGCACTTTCTCCCCTGTATTTGTCAGTCTGAATCAGACCCTCCTCTGACTGTACTTGGAATGGCCCCTTTTGCAGAGGTATAAAATAAGGTCTAAAAAGAAAAATTTGTTTGCTCAGAGCCACAATGAAAGTCAACAAGTCAGGGCTCGATTTTCTTGAAATTTGGGAGTATATAAGAATTCATTGGGCCTTTCCAAGAAGTGCTAACGACGAATTACTTAGGCAAGTGATACACTTACTTCAGTGAATCTGATTAAAAGTGTTACCAATTGAGGTTTATGAGATGAACCATATTTGTGTGACAGGGAGGTTAATTGTAGATGACAGAAAAAGGGGGAAAAACCCCATCAAAAAACCAAGTTTCCCAAAACTTTGGAGACCTCATCCTCAAAACTAGTCAGGAGGTGGCTTGTGTAACCAGAGACATGCACACAGGGCCGCTGTCAAACCAGAGGTTCTTACCAGCACTCGTGTGTGCAATCACAGGAAGCATTTCCAGAGAGGATTTCACACCAGGGTAGAGATTGAGACCTCATTACAAAACCTCTGTGTACTCCCTCGAGTGGCACGTGAGGCCACACAGATCCCTCTAGGTATGCAGAGTGGGGGAGGCTCCTTCCTATTCTGAAAATTACTCTCCCTTGTTTTCTGTAAAATTTGCTAAGCTAGCAAACCCCACAAAAATCCCAAACCAGCACGAAAACAGCTAACAGGGATTTTGGTATTATTTTCCATTCATGTCTTTGATGAAATTTGGCTTTATTACTATTAATTTTAGAAATTTTCACTAAAGAAAACACCTCATGGTCATGATCCTACAAGTCCTGGACTGCATTTAGCAGGTATCCTAACTGGGAGTGAAAATTATCTATGGGGTAGGAATGAGAACCAGAGTTTGAAGAAGCTACAGCAAATCTAAAGACATTCACTGCATTTCATTCATCACAAAAACGTGCAGGATCTGGAAAAGTGTGAATTTAAATGGTTCTTGGTTAAAAATGAGCCTTAACGCCCCAAGTGTCACTTACCTACAGCTTCCTTTTATCTCCTTGTTCTCATTAGTAAAAGCATAGGAATTTGGTAACTGTAGAGTAGTGCTCACAAACCTCAGTGCCCTCCAGCTTCCAAAATGCTGTCTTCAAACTGCTTCTGCCTGTAAAACTAAAGCTGCCTACCTAATCTTTAGCAGTCTCCTTACAGATTGAGATGTAACAAAAGTTAAGCACATCCCGGTAAATCAGTCTCTAGCAAAACTGGGTGCATTTTGAGAGGTTAAATCCTCAGAATCAAACAGTTCCTGACAGAACCACCCTGAGGATGTCACGATGGCTGTGTTGGTGACATGGCTTTCTTCTGGACAAGCCCTGATCCATGGCATTTTAGCACTGCAAAGCCAGAAGAGCAGATCCTTTGCACAGGACGTATCGTTAGTGCATCACTCCTGAGATGATGCATTACTGCTTCTCCCATCAGACGGATGGGCTGCCAAATCGCACACAATTTATGTGCAATAACAACCCTTTGCACACCCTTTTGGCCAGTGCACAGCTGCTGGTGGATGATTTTAGGCCCAGCTTCTCTGCAATTTGTCATCTTGTTTCATAACAACCCTGCGCTGAGTCAGTGCCTGCATGTGACTCTGCTGTGTCACGCGGAGGAGAGCACTGCTGCTTTCCACACTTCCCTGCAAACTGAGGAGCAGGCTCAAACACTGCAAAAGGACCAGCATCTGCCTTTAATGGATTTACAGTATATTTTTATTTTTCAAAAAGCAACATATTTGAGAAAATGAACAGCTACAATGAGCCTGCTTCATCTCCACATAATCCCTGGGTAAAACTAGACAAGCTGGAATAGCCATGGACTAATATATCTCTCAGCAAACAGCTATTCTGATTGCATATGGTGTCAGAGACAGGGGCTGAGACCATAAAATCTCTGCAGTTTAAACTCCTGCATGTGCCAGTGAGAATCCTGCCTGAATAAGAACTAACTGTGTAGAATGGAAAGAGCAATGGGGGCTTTGCTTTGGGCCAGGGAAGATAAATGCCCGTTTCTTGTCCACTTTTCAGCTAGACCTGAAGTCTCCCTGTTTAGGCAGAGAGGCTACAGATCTTCCAGAATGTAACTGCATTTGATAATGAACATCTTTGCCAAACAATAAAATTCAAAACTACAAATGTCCAAGAGGATGGTGTGCTCCTGAGCTGCTGGACCTGCACAGTCCGTTCTATAGGGACTCATGGAATTTGTTCTGCCTGAAAAGTCGTTAAAAAGATTGGGACAGGAAGGAAAAACAGGAAGGAAGGACATGCTCTGCAAGGACACTGTCATCTGGAGATAAACTTGTTTGCAAGTCATTCAATAATTGTGAGGTTTCCTACTTAACAAGTTGTCCTGTTCTGTTTTATTGCTTCTGTGAGCTAGCAAGGTGACCTTGGGATTGAAAACACTTCGCTTCCCTTGGTGGACTTCAAAAAGGAGAAGGGTATTTCCATGCCACTGCTACAGCCAACTCTGGCTCCCATAACTGAGGGTCAAGATGGAGAGGATGACAAACGATCACAAGATATCTGCAAGTGCTATTTCCTGTTCGGAAGCAAAAGGACAACTTAAGGAATTTGGCTGCTGCCCAAGACAAGACAGCTGATTTCAAAAGCTAGGATGGATAACCCCCTGTAAAACTCCACTAGTTAGCAGGAAGGTTAAAGAGTAATCCTATTACGTTATTCAAAAGTTAGAGTAGGCTCGTATAGAAACCCTCAAGTATTAAACTCTATTATGGAAAAGTTTAAAAAATAAAGTCTTTTATCCATATAAATCCCATGTCAGCATGTGCACAGTACTGCACGGAAGAGAACTCACCTCCAACACCTCAGCATTCTGCACTTGGCAGTAAAAAACATGGAGGAATCATGAAGACTCACTGGTGATTGTTTCTCATAGATATAAAAAGGAAAAAAATGAAAAGAATGCGCCCATAACTTGACTCAGGCTGTGTTATAGAGGGAGGTAGTGATAAAATCTGCAGTGATGTCAGACAAGCAAAGGACTAACTGCTTAAAAAAAACAACCTGGAGGGATGCTTTTTTACAAAATTAGATACATCATATTTTCTAGAGTTGCCATTTCAAGGAAATGACTCAGCTGTTTTAATTAGTCTCCAAATATCAAGGGGGGGGGAAATGAGGTCACATTACAGGCTCTTATTTTCTGGATGGAAAAAAAAAATCCAAAACTTTTAAAAATCCAAATCCTGAAGAAAGTGTTAAAAATTTCATTCTACCCATTCTAAACCAGCTGCCTTTGCCGTTTCTAGGATGTCTGTTACAACGCTGTCCTCTGCTATCCTGTCTTTCAAAGATATGAACCACTGACAACTCTTGCTGTCTTCTTTAGGAGATAAGCTACTCAACACCTGAGAGAATTAGATCTTGACTCGAGACAATTTAATATCAGAGAGAAGTGTTCACTGCTAGCCCTGGCGGTCCCAAACACCTATTTATCCATCTCCCAGGTATGTCACACAGAGTTGCAGTGGCAACACATGCAGATGGAATTTGACGTGACCTACAGACGGAGGGAAAAGAAGAACTCACTCAGCCTGTCCTGCTCAATCCAAGATTACAGAGGTTTCATTGATGAAATGCATTTTGTACCATCACCATTTCCAAGTTAGTAACTAGGGGAAAAACCCCTTCACTACAGATGTTTAAGAAAGACAAAACACTTTTACTTGTGACTCAGAGCTGCCTCCTGTTCAAACTAGCAGGCTAAGTGTCAAAAGAGAGTGACATTCCCACAGTGGCTAAGTCAAGATTTATTTAATATGGAAAAGTTCACAAATCCACCATGCTCTCAATCTGGATCTAGCGAGGCTGAAGTGTGACTCTGTGCTGCTTTACCCACAAAACTCTTCCAGCTACAGAGGTCTGAGTGGTTTATAACTATTAACCAAGATTAGTTTTACTGAACCCAGGTGAAGAATAAACGGAGGACACAGACAAAAGAAGAAATGCTGTCTTTCCATTCCAGTTCTCTAGCAGGAGACCATGCTTTCTTTCATAATAATTTCACACAGAAAATGTTATTTCATCCTACAAGTCAGCTAAGTGATTTGATTTGACTCTTCTACTCACAAAGGAAAAATTATTTCTGAAGAACAAATAAATGTGCTTTTTTAACTGTCTGATGTAGTTATTAGAACAGACTTTATAAATTATTCTTGGTAGATTTTGAGTCAGAAGGAATGCTATACACCTGACAGTTAAAATAGGGGCAGTGTCAGAGAGATTTCAGACAACTGATTTCTATCAAGCTTTTGCAATGATCTCTATCACTGTCTTTCCTAGCTCCTCAATATTGTGCCCATAGGAAATGGGTCCTTTTAAGAACCTAGAGCTCTCCAAAGGGGACACACCCATTGCAAGCAAGTTAAACTTACTGAATCCATTAACATCTTGGCAGCTGGAAGAAAAAGCTTCTTCATTGTGAACAGCACTGAGTTTGGTAGAGGTCTTGTCAGAAGTAGCCACGGGACCCATCTCCCTCTGCGTGCTGGTCTGAGTCTCCTTCTGCTTCTTGGCTAGCTTCCTTTAGGGTATTTTGAAGAGGGGAGAAATCAAGGTCAGTTTTCCCTCATTAAAAACAAAACGACGAAAAAACATTTTTAAAACCGTAGTTATCCCACTTGGTCAGACATGCAGGGCACATGGCAATCTGCATGAGAGGAAACCCCACAGCTTTTTGATCTAACAGTTGTGGAGCACAATAAACATAGCGATACCAGTCTTTGAGCTTAGCCACCCCTCCCAGGAACTTATCTTGCACAACCCCGCATCACCCCAGCAGTAGGAGGGCTACATCATCCTTGAAGAGGTGGCATAGGCAAGGCCCCTGGAGAGGGTGTCAGCAGAGGGCACGGGATGAGGGCAGCGATCAGAATCCCTCTCCAGGAGGTAAATGGGATGTCTGCATCTATCCCACGGCACCTGCACTGGGGATTTCATGAGAGTGTGACCTGGCTGTGCAACCCGAGAGCTGGAGCAGTTCTGCCCTGTCACCAGGCAGAGCAATGGGGACAGCAGCCTCTACTAGATTTTGACACACACCCAAACTGCACTGAGGATCGACAGGCAGTGAAGGGTGGGGCGAATTAAAGGTTGAAGTTATTTTAGAAATGCCCAAACATGCCACTATTCTGGGAAAATGGGTCTTGTCTTATTTTGAGGAGATGTCAAAAACATTGGCAAAAGCAAAAACACTGCCTGCTCTGAGAACACTAACAAAGACAGGAACATAAGAGGCTCCTCTTTTGCAAATACAGCTAATAATAAGAAAATAGAGAGAAGCAGGAAAAGTGAGCTGCTAAGCTTCCAATTGACATTTGACTGCCCTGTGCTTCATTCATATCAGAGAGCAAAACTGTTTAAAAATGAATGTGTGACATTCTACATCCCACACCTTGAAAAAATATCACACAAATCCCTAGCACCAGCAAAGAACTTTGCTTACACAACTTCCGTAGATAAGAAAATAAAATAAAATAAAAGGGAGAAAAACAGATTTCTGTAAGAAGGAGCTTTAGTTTTCTTTTTTCCTGCAACTCAAAGAAAAAAAAATCCTAACAACTAAATCATTTTGCAAAGAGGGTTTTCTTCACTAAAATTACATGCTTACGGTAAGTACTACCCATCTTTTAAACTTCATTAGATTCTTAAAAGTGTATTCCTTGCAACATATTCCAACAGGCTTTATTTATTCACAGCACATGTCAGAGCGGCATTTACAAGCAAGTTCAAGCCCACAGCTGAGCCCCAGCCCTTGGTGAGATGGGCAGCTATGCCAGTTACACTCATTTGCAAGGAAGGATCAAAGAGAACTTAAACCTTTGCCTATGTCTGTGGGAAATTCCTATTTTAAGGCAAGCTGATAATCCAGACCAGGAGAGCACAGATTTACGGAGAAATGTCCAATGTTTGATGCAAACTCTAGACCAAAAACATTGGTCTTGTAGTTAGTGGTTTCAATTCAAACAAGTAGCTTTTCAAATTAGGCACGTAATTACAGAATGCATATTCAGATTTCACAATCTCCATGGTATATCCACTTCTGCAGATGAAGATGCGAACAGGGGAACCATCCTTGAGCGATGAAGCAAAAAGCTGGTGTTTAGTGATGTTAAAAGCTTTGCTTCTAGTGTTCACCAATGCTAGCACAGTCAGATTTACCAACTATGAACTACAGCTGTGAGAACCGCCTTTTTATGCTATGGTAACAACAACAGTCTTGAAGTATATTAACCCTGCTAACTGGTTCTTTTAATCCTTTAGATTTGCTAATCAGACATCTGAATTCTCTGTCTTCAGGAATTAAAATTTCTCAGTGGGAAGCACTAATCCAAAACGCAGAAGTCTTTAACAACAAGCACTCTGGACTGCTGGGGTGAGCCACTACTGATGACCACTACTGATGTTTAAAAATGGGGAGTCAAAAAGGGTGACTTCCTTATTAAATGGAGATTAAATTATTTGTGGCAATAATTGTCTGTGAATCCCATTGCCTGGTATCTTTTCAGAAATGCCAACGAGCTACAGAGAGCTGGAACTGGCAAACTCATTTTCCCTTTCAGTGAATGACCAATAACATTTCTGCATGTGCTAGGCAGGAAAAAATAACCCCAAACCCAAGCCCATCAGTCCCCAAAGGCCTGCTTACAAAAGCCCTCTGCAAAGCAGTTCTACCTGGTCCTGTAGAAGACAGAGAGGCCCCTAAAACATTGGCTTGAATGCCTAAAAAGAAAAGGTGACATGAGTTTAAAGTTCTCAATCTAACTCGCACACACAAACCAGGCTGCTCGCAGGTGGACCAGCTGACGCTTACACAAGTTCAGAGAGAAGCCACACAGAAAATTGTTCGGCATCTGAAAACGCTACCATTTTCTTTCAGCAGCGTGTTATCAGCTTCCACCTTTCTCCCTCTCTATTCCAATAATGTAAAAATTCTTCATCTAAATTTAGAGGGAAAAGGAAGACAGATCTCTTTTGAGGATTTCAGAGCTAAGCTTGCCAGACACATCAAGGGGCTCTCGGTTTCTAAATGTGCCTTTTCTGCCGCTGTTATGTGTCTGGATAGAGTGGCAGCACAGGACTAAGCCTATTTGGTCCTTACCATCATTATAATTCATAGAAAGGATTATAAAATCAAATGACTGGCACTTTCTAGAATGTTAGGGATGTGACTTAAACCCACAGCTAGGTAGAGGTTTATTTCCCAGCATGTCAAAATGCCTTTGGAATTGGAAAAGCATTTATCTGGAAATGCTGTTTCCAAAAATAGGGCACTTGGAGAGATCTCAGTGAATCACTGACAAGCTGCATCAGTGACACGGCTCCTGCTCTCCTCCCTGACCAGCCTCCCCGAAACACCACCACCGCAACACCCGACCGAGACCACTCTCAGCGCGGCAGCGTCAATCACAGCCCCGCTGCCGCCAGCGCATACCCAGCACTGTCTGACACCGGCACTGGGAAGACTCTTTCTGTCTCATGCATTATGCAGCTGAAAAAGGGAAGAAATAAAGGCCCGGGCACATATATGGAAGAAGAGTCTGATCAAATCAACACAGGGTGAAGAGACTGAAATGTCAAAATGCGAATAAGGTGATATTAATGGCTGTTTTACGTTTAAATGTAAGGAAAATGGGCCAAGGAGAAAACAGGAGTCCACAGATGGGGTTTACTGGGTTGCCCTTTTCAGTTCAAGAGGGTTTGTAAATGATGAGATGATGTTTACAGGCACAATACACACATAGGAGAGATGAGACAGAAAGATGCTCAAAGTAGAAAAAAAAATGAGACCAGCTGTATAATCAGGCAGTTGAAGCTGACCCAAGTAAAGCAAGGATAAAAGCTATTGGTGGTGAACCTCAAATAAGTATGCGTTTTGGAAAAAAAAAGGGATGGGGATTTGATTGAGCTGTTTTTGAAACTTCTGCTCCTATCAGAGAACAGATCTAAAATACTGAAACACTGTAATAAAAACTGTGGGAATTCCAGTTTGACGATCAAGGAATGTGAACTCGGTATCACGTACAAAGCATTTGCTGCCATGGGCATTAATCAGAAACCTTAAGCAGTATTTTCAGTTAGAGGTATCTGCAGGATCAGATTCCTGTTTTGCAGAGGTTTGGATAAACTTCAGGGATTATTTTTCAAAAGTGGCTGGCAATCTCTTCTCTAACTTTTTGTATCAATTTTACATGCATGAATGCTAAATCTGTAACTGCCACTCCTAAAGAGCTCTCGTACATGTACATTGACAGATTTAATTTTAGATGTTTCACAAGGATGGATTATATACACTAAAATGTAGATTTGCATGCACAGGTAATTTAGACATTAGGTATAGATCACCTAAGTTAAACATGAAATTTCCTCCTACAGACAAGAATTGCATATTGCCCTCATTTTCAATAAGCAGTTTAAGAAAGCTACAAAATTCTATTCCTTTTAGATATTTGTGCGCAGCAGCCTGCTAAGAGCACACATATTATTTATGATGAAATCTGTACAAGCTTAAAGCTGGCAGCGATCAGCCGTGCAAACACCCAGCAGGGAGCACTGGTTAAACTGTAGTTTTGTGAAAAGGATCTCTGTCCGCTAAGCCTGCAGTAGATCACAAACTCAATTTGAAAGAACAGTTTCATGCTGGTATAAAAATAAGGGAGAGATTATACATGGCATTATGGTCTGCAAGCCACTGGTAATCCTTTTAGTCTGACTGGGGATCGGTAAGGCCTCTGCTGCAATACTGCACTTCAAATAAGGTATGTGCCACAGGGACACACACACAAAGGCAGAACAAGAAAGGTAAATCTAGAAAACATGACCGACAAGCAAAGGCCAAAGGAAATATGGATCTTTAATCTAGAGAAAAGAAAATCAAATACGACTGGTAGGTCTTCAAACATATGAAAAGACACCACAGGGAGGCTTCTCTACTTGTCTACAGTGGCTGGTGAAAAAAAGTAATGGGGCTAAGCTCTGGGAAGGGCGGCTCATTTTAAACTTCGGGAAAACTACGCAGCAGAGACCATCCATCTCTCAAGCCAACTGGGCAGGTAGGCTGTGCAAGCCCAGTCATGATGGGCCCTTAAAGAGAGTGAGAGGAATGAGAGTTAAGAGCAGCACAGCCTTTTGGCAGCCTGACGGGTGAGCCCGGGTAGGTCAAACCCTCCCTGTGCTGCCATGGCCCTGCCCAGCATCGCAGACCACCACACGCTCACTGCTGCTCATAGCCACTGAAAGGGCAAATCCTCCATTTATGGGTAAGCATACACACAGAGTTACTTGCAATTTTTGTAGCACCTGCCATGGTGAAGCCAAACTCAGCATGGGTTATGGCAGGAACAGAGGGAAGTCGCCAGAGTAATGGTGAAGCGAAGAGCAAGGACCAGCTGCACCACCTCTGATTACAATGCAAACATTACTTGGCATGAGAAAGCAATGCCACGCAGACAGAAGTCAAAAGATGCTCTGAGTGTTTTGTACTGCATGTATACAAAAGTGGGGTCTTCAAAAATGTAGGCCCATGCTCTCTACGCTTCACTTTATCAAACTGTAACCATATACATTTTAGTCAAGATAAGTGCATATAGCAGCCATGCTGTGTAAGTATATACTGGTATACACAGGCAGCAAACTGCCCTCTGCAACGTTTAGGCTTGCAATCACCACACAGATATGCTCTAAATAAAATCTCACATACTTTCTGGATTTTAATTATGTATTTTTAAAAATTGCTTTCATTGGACTGGCATAACCATCGATTCATGATTCTGCTCCTCCAGCATCTAATGAGAAAATCAGCTTCTTCTTAAAATTCTAATTTAGCAAGCTGACCTGTGCAGGCAGATCCCACCATCCATGGAAATATATGGAGATATATATGTATGTATGTGGTTATACAGAGCTATGCCCATAAATAAAATAACATTTTATTTCTTTGCAAATATCCCACAGACAGTGGAAATAAATTCAGCACAAACTCTGTTATTTCAGAAAATGCAAGTATAAATCTATCTTAATACCTCTGACAGAATCTCTCCCATGAAGAGAAACTCTTGGCTGAAACCATCAAAACAATTAAAATTGGTGTGAAATTATGGTGGGAGTTGAAGCATGTCCTCCGTAGTGTGACCAGTTCAGGGGAAAAGGAAAACAACATATTGGCCACTGAGTGTCCTTTTCTTAAAACTAACATTAAACTGAGTGTTTGTAACCTATACATGAATCTATGTATTTCCAGAAATACTTCTCTGGCCTCATATCACTCTTGATTAAATTTCATTCTGTAACCATTACCCATCCCAGGAGAAAGAAACAAAACAAAACAGCCCACACACAGAAAACATTTCCTTTTCCTGGCGAGGAAATAATAAAGCCTTGCCATGGGATGCTGCAGCTGAAACTACTGTTGCAAAAGAGGTGTCTGTCAGCAAATGCAAAACCTCCTTTAAGCCAGCTGAATTGCTGTCTGTGTTTTACAGCTCCAGTTAGGATAAAGAAACAAAAAATTTCAGACGTGGATGGGTTGCTACCTTACATTGCACATTACAGTGCACTACAGTGCAGCGTGATAGAGACAGCAATTCTGTACAAACCTCAGACAACATTGGTATTGGTGTAAATACAGAGTAACTCCTTTGAAAGGGTTCATGCAATGAGTGCACCAGGACAGGAACCCCTAATTCTGCATCCCTCTCTTCCCATCACAAAAACAAATTCTGTCCAAGGATCTCAAATCGTAAGCAACTAACTGTTAATAATGGGTAAATAAAAGTACGCAAAATGATGCCAATCCTGCACGACCACTTAGCAAGTTAGGAATAGAGACCTCCTGGGTCTGTATTTCCACTTAAAGTGTGTTAAAGATCTTTATGGCCTTCTCTTTCAGCCACAGTAATAACCCTTCCTACATGTTGTAGGAAGTTTTTTATGGAGTGTTGCTATACAAAAAAATCCCACAACTATTTACCTGGTATGCACCAAATATGCACAAAATAGCTAAAAGAGCTGCTCTATAAAAGACTATTTTTGACTGGTTTCACCAAAGCTGCAGGTACTCAACTATCTCACAAAATCAGTTTTTACAGTCTTGGATTGCAGCAAAATGCAAGACAGACTGAAGGCAGAACTCCAGCCTAGAGACTGCTACAACGCTTATGGCCAATCTCTACAAAAAGTCTGTCACTCATGAGATTTGTCTCCATGACGTTAATAGACTTATCCCTACGAACTGTTCAGAAGAGCTAGGGTTGGAGATTTTGGTTCCTAACAAGAAGAAATGCCAGTAGAGCCAGTAACAAAGGGTTGAGGGGAATTATCTGAAAGCAGACGAGAGTTACTCTAAGCAGAATGAATTTGAAGTTCAGAAACTGAAACTAAAAATAAAGTGATGTAGTCCATATGGTCGTATTTAAAGGTCTGCCAGCAGATCTATTTGAGAACCTGCTTTACAATCCTGGTAACTCATTCAACCAAATTTTGCTTCAGGACTAAAACATTCCTATGAGGTCCTAGCATGGAAACAAATTCTATTTTTAAAAAAAGCATCTATATATATACATATTGCTGCTCTTGCTTTCACAACATTTCAAATAAACTTAAATCAAACCTCTCTGCTTATAAGAGACTGTAGCAATTTCTATCAGCTTTGGCTAAGAATTACACAGTACTTAGCAAGATTTTCATCCATAATGATAATGAAATATCCTATTTTCATGTGATACTTGAAACTCAATAAAACATCATCATATGCTCCTTCATGGATTCTCCTGCTTTCTTCTCTCACTACTGGAACATCTCTCATACTCTATTTTCGGGGATGGGGGAACCCAAAACAATACATAAACAAACAAACAACCAAAACCAAAACCTAAAACCAAAACAGCTTGGTTTTGCCAGATCAGGGATCAAGCCAAAATTCAATCTGAAACCAAATGCTGACATGCACAGCCTGATGATGGAAGTATTTATTGTGTGATGACTGTTTATGTGTTACCTCTCCCACAGCGATGTTCCAGCCAGCAGAGCTCCTGCATGATGGGGTACCTGGGACACTATAAGCAGAGCTAAAAATGAGCTCTGCAAAAAACGCTGGGTGATGTGATTTCTGCACCCTGAGCTCCCATCTCCACTGAGTGCTTCAGAGGGCTGCCATGAACACATCAGCTTGCTTGATGATACCTCTGCCTTTTCTCTACTGTGATGTGCTGCATGGTGCACGTCTGCCTTATTACATCTAATCAAAGCCCTCGCTTCTGCTACCGCTGAAACTCATTGCAACCTCAGGCTGGGGTGACCTCCAGAGGTTTGTGTATTCACTTTTCCTGAGTCACTCTCCCTGTTCCCCGAGAAGAAAGTTCTGGTGTATTGATCCCCAGAAGCCATTACAAGACAGCAAAGAGACTGCTTAACGATACCCTGACTTTCTCTGTAGTGGAGTAATCCCCAGCTGACTGCTTAAAGCAATGTTGTTGTGCTGTTGTAAAAAGGGGTCAACAAAGGGCTCAGAAGTTGAATCGTGTTTTTAAATACACAAATCTCAAAAGAAAATAAAACAGGGAACAGTCTGACCACATAGTGCCTGCTGGAAGAAGACAAAATTATAATGGATAACCAGGGACTGAATTTTTCAGGCAATGGTGCTGATGAGTCATAAGGAAACAAAACCAATGCAACAGTGCAGGGGGCACTTTTCTGGCATTCATGAGAAATGTGCAGAAGAGGAAAGGTTGTAGCAAGAAATGCAACAAGCTAGTAGCATCTACACATTGAAACCATCCCCTACTTTAACATTTAGTTAAACTTCTTTTGAAGTCTGACTACTTAAGATCAAATACCATTCTTGGTGAACCAGTGTGAAGTCTAGAGGAAATGGAGTTACTCTGCATTTACAATTCTGTAACTGGGCAAAGTGAAGGCTCATTGGGGTGTCTTTAGGCTCCTCACACACTTTGCAAGTGGGGAAGGTTCCTCTCTGAACTATTTTCTGACAGTTCATCGAGAAGCAAAGTCACTCGAATGGGTGGTACATAGGGATCCTCATACTTAAGTCCTTTGCCTTGTTCTTTGGATGTAGATCAGCTCATAGGGAAAAGAAGTCAACTTCCACTAAAAGGGCAGAATAAAAAT